GGGTACTCGAGGCCCGAGGACGATGCGGCTACCGACGTGGGTCAAGGACCGCCGCGTGGTCGTGCTCGTGGATAATGGGTCATCGCACAATTTCATCAACACCACGCTATCCCAAAAGCTGAAATTGCCCACGACGACGATAGAGCCATTCGAGGTCCGAGTAGCCAATGATGAACGGCTAAAGTGCACCGAGTCCTATCGCAAGGTGCCAATCAAGGAGTCACCATCAAGGCCGATCTCTACGTACTACCCTTGGTTGGACCCGACGTTGTGTTAGGAGTCAAATGGCTCGAAGGCTTAGGAGAAGTGACCACCAACTACAAAATCGGGGTCATGAAGTTCAAAACGGGAGAACAACAAGTCACGTTGAAGGCAAGTGAGGCTGGTGGGCCAAGGAGGTTGGTCTCAAGAGCATTGAGCGGGTTTGGCGCGGAGGTGGCCAAATCTTTGCGGTAGTCGAGGACACGAGCGCGCCCATAACCGAGTCTGGCTTGTAGCAGACGAGGTGCGCGCGTTTCTCGAGGAGTTCGACCATGTGCTGGGCGAGCCCAAGGGTCGACCACCACACCGGGAATTCGACCACTGCATACCATTAACCAATGAGCAGCATGCCGTACACGTCCATCCATACCGATACGCCCACTTCCAGAAGACAGAGATAGAGAGGCAAGTTGGCGAAATGCTTGAGTCCGGGCTCATTCAGCATAGCTCAAGCCCGTATCGCCAGTGATATTAGCCAAGAAGAAAGATGGCACATGGAAGTTCTGCACCGACTATCGAGCATTGAATGCCGCAACAATCAAGGATCGTTTCCCCATACCAAGCGTCGACGACATGCTCGATGAGTTAGGAGGATCACATTATTTCTCTAAACTCGACCTGAGGGCCAGATACCATCAGATCCGGCTACATAAGGCTGATATTCCAAAGATGGCCTTTCGTACACACCAAGGGCACTACGAGTATCTGGTTATGCCATTTGGGCTATGCAACGCCCCATCGACTTTTCAATTCGCCATGAATTCCATCTTCAAGGACCATCTGCGCAAGTTCGTCTTAGTATTCTTCGATGATATCCTGGTTTACTCAAAGACTTGGGCCAAACACATTGGGCACTTACGTGTGGTGCTCGAAATTTTGGAGGCCAACTCTTTCCACACCAAGCCGTCCAAGTGCTCGTTTGGACAAGAGATGGTCGAGTATCTTGGTCACTTTATTTCACATGATGGTGTGAAAGTTGATCCAAGAAAAATTGAAGCTTTGATCGACTGGCCTAAACCGACAAGCCTAACTCAGTTACGTGGATTCCTAGGGCTCACGGGCTACTATCGAATGTTCGTGAAGGACTATGGAACCATTGCCAAGCCATTAACTGAGATGACCAAGAAAGGGGGATTCAAGTGGACTGAAGCTAGCGAGACTGCATTTGAGAAGCTTAAGGGCGCAATGACCTCGACGCCCGTTCTAGCTATGCCGAGGTTCGATGTGTTGTTCGAGGTACACAAAGATGCAAGCGACATAGGCATTGGTGCGGTGCTAGTCCAAGAAGGACGTCCCTTAACCTTTCTAGGCACGACCCGACTAGAGCTGCCAGTATACGTGAAGGAGATGCTCGCGGTTGTAGAGGCTGTGCGATGCTGGAGGCCCTATCTCTTGGGGCGGCGTTTTTGTATTGTGACTGACCAGCAGTCGCTCAAGCACCTGCTCGAACAACGGATCGTGACGCCTGAGCAGCAAAAGTTTGTCTCAAAGCTCATGGGCTTCGACTTCGAGATAGTGTATCGACCGGACCAACAAAATGCCGTGGCTGACGCATTATCAAGGCGAACGGACATCGCCGAGCTCAATGCTATAACCAGGCCAACATGGGCAATATGGGAAGAAGTTAGGAAGGCGCAAAAGGACGATGCCCAATGCCGAGACTTGCGCCAGGACATTGAGGCCGGTGATGCAGTCATAGCCGATTACGAGCAGCACAACAGCCTAGTGCTACACCGGGGCCGAGTGTTTGTGCCCAACAGCGGGCAACTCCGCGTGAAGATTATGCAACACTTTCACGACTCTAAGATCAGAGGGCACTCGGGATTCTACCGCACATGGATGAGGATGGCCATTACCTTCTTTTGGCCAGGGCAGCAGGGCGCGGTCGAAGAGTATGTCGCGTGATGCGACGAATGCCTGCTTACTAAGGCCGACGCACGGCGACCGGGCAGATTACTGCAACCCTTGCCAGTGCCCGAGAATATTTGGGAAGACATTATTATGGACTTCATCGAGGGACTGTCAGTCTCTAATGGGTTCAATGGAGTCATGGTCGTGGTGGATCGACTAACGAAGTATGCCCACTTCATACCGATCACACATCCCTACACGGCGAAGTCAATCGACAAGCTATTCATCGAGTACGTTATGAAGTTGCACGGGGTACCACGCTCAATTATCTCTGATCACGACCGGATTTTTATGAGTACCTTTTGGTCTGAATTCTTCAAACTGCAAGGGACCAAGCTATCAATGAGTTCAGCTTATCACCCACAGACGGATGGTCAAACCGAGGTGACTAACTGCACGCTAGAGCAATACATACGGTGCTATGTGCATCAATTTCCAAAGAAGTGGGAAAATTTCCTACCATGGGATGAATATTGGTACAATACCACTTACCAAGGCTCGACCAAGGCTACGCCATTCGAGCTTGTGTACGGGCGCAAACCACCTACGCTCGTAAGTTACTCGGAAGGGGGAGCAATCAACGATGATGTCGGTCGAGAGCTTGAGGAGCGGGACTTGATGTTGCGAGAATTAAAGAACACTCTCGAAGGCTCGATTAACCGCATGAAAACCTTTCATGACGGCAAGAGGCGCGAAGAAAGTTTCGAGCCAGGCGACTATGTCTACTTGAAGCTACGGCCCTTCAGGCAACGCACGACAGCGCAAAGGGCCACGACTAAGCTTGGTATGCGCTATTACTGGCCATATAAGATTTTGAAGCGCATAGGGCAAGTAGCTTATCGCCTAGAGCTGCCAGAGAATTCAGACAACCATCCGGTCATAGATGTCTCGCAGCTCAAAAGGAGTTTGGGTGAAGCGCACAAGTGGTGCGAGGAGCTACCCGTGACATCCACAGATGGGCGGGCCATTGTTAGGCCTAGCCGTGCGATCGAGTATCGCCAAGTAAGGAAAGTTGGACGCTATCATTGGGAGGTTCTAGTCGAATGGGAGGAGTTGCCATCGGAGGAAGCCACTTGGGAGGATTTGGATGAAATGCGCGAACAATTCTCTGATTTCGTCCTTGAGGACAAGGAAGCACTTGAAGGGGACGGGAATGATGCGGAGGTGGCAAGGAAACTTAAGAATGCCTCGAGTCGGGCCTATCATGCGCGCAAGAGGTTAGCGCGGCAGGCGGGTGAGACGCAAGCCATCGCGTGCAAGGCATGCGAGGCGGGCGAGGGAGATCCGGCAGAGGTGAGCGCGCGACTGGCGCGCGGGCCAAAAACTGCCGCGATGGGAGACGACGCGCGCACAACGGATACCCTGGGTCGTGGCGCGGCGAGTGGCGAAGACGCGGCAGGTGCCGAGGACGCGCGCGAAGAAGCCGCTGGGGGCACGAGCGCGAGCGATGCGCGTGGTGGGCGTGCACGCACAGGAACATGCAGCGCGACCTTAGTCCTCGAGGACTAAGGCAAGGCGCGCGAGGCGGTGACCCGAGGCGGCAAGATGAGGGCTAGGGTTTTTCGACTTGGAGTGGAAGACAAGATTACTTAGGATTCTCTACATATTTAGTTTCCTTCTTTGCATATGATTTCTAGATTGTTTAGGATACTTAATATTTTATTACTTTATTAGAGTTATAGCTAGATTAGGACTATATCTATTTGATGCCTATATAAAGGCCCTTCCTCTTGTTATTTTTTATCATTCAGAAATTAATACAAAAACCCGAACATTTGTTCAAACACGTTGCCCTAGATTTCTTCTTGATTTCTTTTGCAATTTTATTCGTTTCAAGGGGCGCGGGTGTGTGAACCTCCGAGACACCTATTGGCGATTCAAGGCACGAGTTTGTGGCTTATCGGCAATCGGGACACGCGATCTTCATTACGACGCCTCGAGGCGAGGCGACTGAGGCGAAGGCAATATTGCCTCGCCACTGCTTGAGGCGACCATGTTCGCGAGGCGCTCGCTTCGAGTAGCCTCGGCTCGCCTTTTTGCGTGGCGAGAGGCGACTGTGGGGCGCGCCTCGGCACCTTTCACAGAAGTTAAAGGGGCAGTCTTTTCTATTAAAAAAAACAAAAAAGAAAGCGTGTAACACTTTTGAGAGGATAGAATAGAGTTAAAAAAAGTTAAAAGCAAATCGTTTCATCTCCCACACCTAGACTTAGGGTTTACAGGACAGCGAACAGAAAAGAAAAAAATTCTTCACCTTCAATTCGATCAAGCTTGATCTGGTGCACCTCCACCGCATCTCCGCATCTCGAGCTCCACAGGTAATGGGGTTTTTTTGGGGTTCTTTTACTTTGTTTGACTTTTGTTTTTTGTTTTGTTTGTTTATTAATTAAATGTTAAAGTAGTTCAATATGTGGCTATATTCTAATGATCCACTTGTTTTTTTTTTCAGCTATATTAAACAAATAAATATGTGATGGTTATCTTTATCTTTTTTTTTTCGAGATGGTTGTCTTTGTCAGCTATATTAAAGTAGTGATGGTTGTCTTTATCATCCGGGTTTTACTCTTTTTTTTGTCAAATATTATAACAATTATTAAAGTGATGTTTTGTTTGTACTTTGATATTCTTTTTGTTTTTTGAATTTGTACTTTGATATTCACTATCACTGTTTTCCATTTTTTTGTTTTCAAATATTATAACAATTTTTAAAGTGATGTTTTTTGTTTGTAATTTAATATTTAGGATCTATTCTTGAGATGGCCGAATCTAGTGATAATCCTCAAGCTCCGCCTAAATATTCTTATAAGGATCCACAATAGAAGTATGTTTGGATGGTTAAGGAAGATTGTAGAAATGATTTAAAGTGCAAATTTTGTAGGACTATTACAAAAAGGGGCATTAGTCGTGCCAAGTGTCATATTAAACAAATAAATATGTGATGGTTATCTTTATCTTTTTTTTTTCGAGATGGTTGTCTTTGTCAGCTATATTAAAGTAGTGATGGTTGTCTTTATCATCCGGGTTTTACTCTTTTTTTTGTCAAATATTATAACAATTANATTCTTTTTATTTTTTTTTCGAATTGGTACTTTGATATTCACCATCACTATTTTCCATTTTTTTGTTTTCAAATATTATAACAATTTTAAAAGTGATGTTTTTTGTTTGTAATTTACTATTTAGATTTATTCTCGAGATGGCCAAATCTAGTGATAATCCTCAAGATCCGCCTAAATATCCTTCTAATGATCCACTATGGAAGTATGTTTGGGTGGTTAAGGAAGATTGTAGAAATGATTTAAAGAGTAAATTTTGTGGGACTATTACAAAAGGGGGCATTAGTCGTGCCAAGTGTCATATTGCCGGAGGTAGTACTAGTGTGAAGGTTTATACTAAAGCTCCGCCTTCGGTAGTAGAAGAAATAAAAAGCTACAAGTTGAATAAAGCGGCAACGGTGGCAAAAAAAAAAATAATTTTAAGATATCCGCACCAACTTATGGGATTCAACATGAAGATCATGGAGAGGCTCCTACACCTCCAAGTTCAATGTCAATGATAATGACTATGGACTCGCAAAAGAGGCCGAGGCAAACGGGGCCGATGGATATGTATTTGACCACGGACAAGGGAAAACAAACAACCATTAATGAGGCATGGAAAAAGGAGTTTAGAGTGAAAGTATGCATGGCCATTTCCGAGTGGATGTATGATGCGGCCATCCCTTTCAATGCTCTTACTTATCCAAGCTTCCAAAACATGTTAAATCATATCGGCCAATATTGTTTGGGTCTTCAAGGACCTAGTATGTATGTAGCGAGGGTGCCTTTCTTTAGAAAAGCGGTGGAGAATGTGGATAATGATTATATCAAACTATGTAAGGAAGAATGGGCAAAATACGGTGGCACCTTGAAGTGTGATGGTTGGACGGATAAGAGGCAAAGAACTTTTGATCAATTTCTTGGTGAATTCTCCTAGAGGTACGGTTTTTCTTGAGTCCGTTGATGCTTCCTCATATGCGAAGACGGGAAGGAAGATGTTTGAGCTTATTGATAAATTTGTGGAGCGTATTGGTGAATCAAATGTTATCCAAGTTGTTACGGATAATGCTAGTGCAATGGTGCTTGCCGGTGAGTTATTACCTATTAAATTACGTGTTATTTAATTCATTTTGATTGTTTGGTTTCATGTCCCATCATTGTTAAATTGTTGAAATTTTCTCTTGTAGGAAAATTGCTACAAGACAAACGGCCTCATTTGTTTTGGACTCCATGTGCGGCGCATTATGTAGATTTGATTTTGGAGGATATAGGCAAGTTGCCTTATATCAAAGACACATTGAAGAAGACAATGAGTGTGAATGCCTATGTTTATGTCCGTCCGGGTGTGGTGAATATGTTGAGACATTTCACCGGAGAGAAGGAACTTGTTCGAGCCGGTGTCACAAGGTTTGCTACGGCCTTTCTCACACTTGAAAGAATGCAAATATTGAAGGAGAAATTGAGAGACTGTTTGCAATATTTTGGGTAAGTGGTAATCAAGTTACCCGACCTCGAGTCGTTCTCAAAGGAAGACTGTTCGGTTGCCTCGTTAAATCTAGTTGTTGAAACACAAAAAGGATAAAATAAAAATCCTAAACATTCTATCAAGATTGGTTTGAGAGTTTAATAAAACTACAAATTGAATAAAGTAAATAACAGGTTTAATCTAAAGAAATAAGCAAGTAATTGAAAGTTTCCAAAAACGTACTATAAACGACAAAACAAAATAAAATAAATAACAGAGATAATCGGGATTTAAAAATGGGACTTCTAACACGAAATGATTAAGTTTTAATCAAGTCTTAATCTTTCAAACTAGATCGTTCCACAATTAATTCCATATTATCTTACAAAAATAAAAATAAAAATAAAAATAAAAATAAAAAGACTCATGCTTAGCGTTATCGATATACCGAAAACTCCGATTGTAACTCGAAAGAAGTTCGTAGTTAATAAATCGGTGCTAATACAAAGTGAAAGGTCCTAAAAATAGGTCCCTAACCTTCTATAGCAAGTAACGATAGATTGAAAACGATAAAATACAAACTTTGACCTAAACATACCATATAGTAAAAACTTACCGGAAAACTCAAATCTTGATGCTATTCCAACAATCCACAAGAACTCCAAGTAAATAATTGAAGTCTTATAAATCACACCAAAACCAAATGATTACACCAAGTCGAAAATAAATACAAACCGAACCGAAATAAGAACACTTCGAATACAATAATCTAATACAAACTTCTCCAAAATTCCTTCTCTTAAACACTACCAACAAGTTTAAGTGTTTAAAAAGAGCCAGAAAGGAATAAGAATGTGAAGAAGATGGTGAATAAGTGAATGACTTAAGATGGTAATGAAGATGGTTTATATAGGGTGAAAAAATCCTTAATTTCCTAACTTAATTTTCTTCACCCATTCATCAACCATGCATAATTTCTTCACCCATCCATCAAACATACCTAAAAGACCCAATTTTCCCATCCAAAATGGTCATTATCTCAAAATAGTCAGTTAGGCTCGGAAATATCCGAGAAAATGGGTCCAAGGGCCGCTGGGCGCGGCATGGCGCGCGGTGGTGCGGGGCAGCAGTGCACGTGCTTACGTTTTTGGCTCGTTCGGGCTCGTTTGAGCTAGGAATTGAGTTCCGTTTTTTCCTACGCGTAGCTAACGAACTCTTCTATATAATTATGTTTGGAAACCACACTTTTGCCCAGAATACAAATCTTGTGGAATTTTCAACCATTAAAGTGTCGATAACTTTCTCGACTCTATGTTTCGGCCCCGTTCGGATTCATCCGAACTCGAATCGAATTCCGCTTTTTATCACTTGTCGCCAACTAACCTCTCTAGTTAGTTGTTCTTGAACGGTCGAGTTCCGAGCTTAATCCAATCCTCACAGGATTTTCGACACGCATTTTCGGCACTTCTGAAAATATTTTTCGTCAACTCTACGAGGCTCGATTTTTCTACAAAATAAACATAAAAAGCAACAGAAAAATACCAAAAATACCGAAACAACTTAAAAACACCAAAATAAAGAAAAACAACCAAATGGACCGAAAATGACCAAAAATAAACTAAAAACCACATAAATAAAAGACTAAAAAATACACAAAATCACAACAAAAATGTACAAAACAGAGACATGTTTTGGTCAAGACAATGGGAAGAGATTCAATGGAAGAAAGAAGCCGATGGGGTGAAAATTACCAAAATCATTTTTTCAATTCGATTTTGGAATATGTCTTGAGAATTCTAAAAATCTTTGGCCCTTTAGTTCGTGTGTTAAGAATGGTGGACGGGAAAAAAAGGCCCGCAATGGGCTACATTTATGAGGCCATGGACAAGGCAAAGGAAGCGATCCAGGATGCTTTTGATGGGAAAGAAGACAAGTATAAGGATGCATGGGTAATCATTGATAAGAGATGGGATTGTCAACTCCATAAGCCCTTACACGCCGCCGCTCATTATTTGAATCCACAATTTCTTTCTACCTATACCTCATTAGATATTATGGATGAGGTTGGGGGTGGATTTATTAAATGCGTGGAGAAATTGGTCCCGAACTTTAAAGAGCAACCAACTCAAGTTGGATTTTATTTAAGGTCCCAAGGGAGTTTCGGGACGGGATTGGCGGTTAGACAACTGTCGACGATATCTCCGGTGGAGTGGTGGCACACTCATGGGACACAAACTCCGGAATTGAGAATTTTCGCCATTAAAGTGCTAAGTCTCACTTGTAGTGCTTCGGGATGCGAGCGCAATTGGGGCATTTTTTAGCATGTAAGTATTTCATAAAATATTTTTTAATAAATTGTTCAAATGAAAATTAATGACTTGTTTTTTTTTCTATCTTACATTTTCTAGGTTCATAGCAAAAAAGGGAATAGGCTTGATAAAAAACGATTGAATGATTTGATGTATGTGAAATATAATCGTGCTTTGAGACTTCGATATGATGGGCGTGATCAAATTGATCCTATTTTGTTGAATGAAATTAAAGAGTCCAATGAATGGTTGCTTGGCAAAATGGAAGGAGAAAGTGATGGTGATGATGATGGTTTGGTGTTTGAGGGAGAAGACTTGACTTGGGATGCGATTGCTAAGGCTAGTGGCGTGGAGGAGCCTACGTATCGAATTAGGAAAAAAGCTCAAAGTTACGGCTTTGGAGGTTAAGCTCACTTTGTGGTGTGATTTGTTCGAGCCAATCAACTCTAAAAGGCTTAGAAAATTCTAAAGAATACTTAGAATAGGCTAAGCCTCGAGAGAAATGGCTTGGAACACGAGGTGGTTGCCTCCTCTCCTTCCCCGGGCTGGGTGCGCGCGAGCAAGGCCAAGGTAAGTGCCTCTCGAATTTTCTATCTTTCCTCACTATATGCTCGAGCTTCTAAGTGTCAAAGGGCTTAAAAAGGACTGAGGAACAGCCCTTATATACTGGTTTGGGGCGGAGCTTGCTATGCTACTCATGGGAGACCAAATAAGTGGAAAATGCCACACCATTTGCATGGGAACTTGAGAGGATGATGAGGAATAGTCTTGCACGTTTTTGGAGGGTCAAAAGGTGGGATTTCAGAGCACTATGGCTTAGTGGAGCGGTCTGGTCAGACTGGAGCCTTGCATGGGGGACAAAGACCATGCATGTGCATTAAAATTTTAAATTACCCATCCTCCACTTTGGCTAAACCTTGGTTGACTTTGCTTAAACATTGCTTAGGGCAACATAAGCTCCATTAGACTTATTAAGTCCCTAACAACCGCAACTCTTGGTTCATGGGAGATTTGGGCCGGAAATATATGAAATGGGCTTTTGAGGTTGGGCTGGCAGGGCTGTCGCTGGGCTGGGCGCTGGGCCCTGGACGCGGGGACGCGGGTTGGGCACGAGGGCGCGGTTGGGCTGCGCGGGGAGATGGGCTGCGCGGGGAAAATGACTTTGGCTGAGTGTGATGACCTCCTTCAATGCTTCAACACTTAACAAAAAATATTGGATGAGTTATGGCATGCCTTGGACGCCACTAGGGCTCGGTAGGGAGTGCATGGGCGTGGCTTAGGCGCGGTGCGGGGACTAGGGCACGAATGGCTCGGTTATGCATTTTGGCTCGATTTAAAATGATCAAAACTTGACTTTGATATTTTAATATACTTAGAAAAATATTCTAAGTATTAAAATATCAACTCTCGATTATGACTTAGAAAAATATACCCGGAACGACAACTAGGGTTCGTGTCCGGTAATTTCTCGAATCGACTTGCTATAATTTAACAAACCAAATTAATGGATTAATCTTAACTTAAAATTGATATAGAAATATTCCAAGGAATAATCTATCATTTTAGAGCATTTAGCATATATAAATATAACTGGACTTTTCTGAAAATTACGGATTTCACTTATAGTCGAGCAGTGAAACCGTTCTTACTATTATTACTGATTTGGGGCGTTACAACCTATCCTCCTTAAAATATTTCTGTCCTCGGAAGTAAAAAACTAAGGTGCTAGGCCAGAACTCCTACT